AATCATTACTGAGTTTCATGCTTGCTTACACATAGGTGACCTTTTGTTTTTCCATACTTAATTATTTTTATTTGTCTCTCAAAATCTAGGAAACTGGTACATGGGGTATGCCTGATGGCCAGCTGCTAAGCTGAACATTAGTTTTTCCGCATATTGTTTTTGAAAATCTGTTTTTTAGTATTCAGTTCTTTCTTATCAAGTATGATTGCCTTGATTTGTTGCCTGTGGCTCTTCTCTGTATCTAGATCTGTGGCATTTAGGAGGTCTACTCAATTAGCTGATCAAATTTAGCATTTTTCCATTATTCTTCTACTTTTCACTTTTACAGATACTAGACATCAATAAGGGGCAAGCAGAGGCTGTTCTCAGAGATATATTGCAGGGGAGAAGTACGCGACGTGGAAAATGTTCTGTGACGATACAGTTTCTTAGTAGCTTACTATCTTTCCTGAAAGAGGAGGAAGAGGAAAAGTATATCTTTTTTTCTTCAGATTTGCTTGAGGAGCACATCTCTTGCATCTTCTAACACTTGTATATAAATTTTTTTTCCAGATCTTCAGCAGAAACCTTGATAGAAGGGAAAAACTCATGTTATGCTGATATCAAAATGTTGATCTTGAAATCCCCCAGTGTTGCAAGAACCATGAGATTAGATTCTTTGAGTAATGATGTTGAAGAATTTGAGTACTTGAATCCCTCAGAAAAGCTGAAGATGTTAACTTTTATCTGCGACGAAGTTCTTGGAACTGTGTAAGAAATGTCCTGGCTTTCTCCTTTCCTCATTACGTTCTGTTTTTTCTGTCTTTTTGTGAAAGTGAATTTATATATATTTCTTTTCCAGAAAGATAAGGGACTGGATTGATGATCAAAACTCAAACTTTGCTGAAAAGGCAAAGGAAGCAAAAGAAAAAGTTGTTGCTGCAAAAAATGAGGTGTGGAAGATAATAATAGAAAAAAATTTAAACCTCATTATGCTTCAAGTTATGAAAGCAAATATATGAAATGTTATTACTTGTACAGGAGAAGCGCCTGAAGGAGAAAATGCAGAATGAGATAGCTCAAGCCATTATTGCGAAGAATGGTGCTCTACTCTCATTATCAGAACATGAAGCAATTTTTTCTGAAATTAAACGTGAATTAGCAGAAGCTCATGTTTCTTTGGTGGAGTCAAAGAACACCTACTCCAAGTGTACGTGCTTAGTCTACATGCATGTTTAAGTTGATTTATTTTTCCATATGGCTCGCATAAATGTGCATATCTAATCAGTCATGCTAAAGTTTCCCAACATGGAATGAGATATTACTAGATTTTAAGTTGTTCATGTGGGCGTTATGCCATTACTGTGATGATACAGTGAGTAGGTCATCAGCCGTTAACCCTCTTTCCGTAATATAATGACTAGTGAAAGATAGGAAATTCTACCTTTCTCACAATCATCAAACATCTGCTCCATGCAATCAGAGATGACAAGCACACTAAGCTTTGTCATGTAAAGAGACACGTAGCAAAATTACACTAACATAGACTGTTAGTTCCCCGCACAGGCTTTCACTTCATTCTTGAATAACCTTTCTGTATGAGAAATACGTATTTGTTCATGATGGCTGGACTATTGTAACTTCATTGATCATTTGATCCTTTTCGTATATTTGAGTTTTGACTATGTTTTTTTTCTAATAGGTAATAAAAGATCTGAAGCTGTTAGGACGGAGTCTTTCTTTTCAGGCACTGATGGTAAAGTGTATTGGACACTAAAATGCTACGGTGACAAATCCGTTCTTTTATGTCAAGGTTGGTTCAAGCATTACAGTTTACTCTAATTTTGGTAATTGGCATTTGAATGACCTTTATGCCTATTCCATATGCAGATGTGGGGACCGGTGATATTGCTGGATCAGATGAAAAATGGTCTGCTTTTGACGCTGAACAGAAAGAAATCATTGAGAAGCACATTAATTCTTTAAGGTTGGTAATTCAAATACTATGCTTCATTAAACTGATAGAGATTTCCAAGACTGAGTTCCCATTTATTCTAGCTGGCTATTTAAAGATGCTGAATTTCAGGATTGCCCTGCTTGTTGCCTAGAATAAGAAAACAAATGCATTGACTAGAATTGATACCTTTATAGTCTTATAAAAGCACCTTATATATTCTTCTTCATTGTTCTGGAATATGCAAACTGTAGTACTCCCTTTCTGATTACTGCTTAAACCTCCTCCCTTTAGGGGTGGACACTTTTCCACTGTTCTATCCTTCAGATAATCAGAAATGACCTTGGTATCTGTCTTGATGTTTAGCTGTCACCTGGAATCAGCATAACTAAGATGTGGACCTAGTTATAAAATCAGTCTTTCTAAGTTGATCAAGTTCATGATATGTAGGTTAATCATATTTCTTTAGTCGCAGGGTAAAAAGGAGGGTTAGAACTCCCAAGGTGCAGAAGAAACTTCAATCTCAGGAGAATGAAGCTACCCCTCAAGATCTTACTGATATTACTGGCGCTTCCATGGAGGAATGTAATGAAGAGCTGATGAATGGTCTTCTTACCTGACCTTCCAGTGAGGGTGGGGGATGGAAAAAAATATTACATTTACATTTCAATATGCTACCTTTTGGTTGCAACTTTCTAGACCATTGAATTGCAGTTGTATCTTAGCTTTGTATGTACTCTGCCTTATCCATATACTTCCTGTTCCTATTAAACTTCTTTTAATAGTAACAAACTTGTTGCTACTGGATGTGCATTGTGGTGATCTGATATGTGTCTATTGAGTAAAAAATTGAATGAACAGGAAAAGAAAAAAGACAAGATGGACTTTCTAGCTTTTAAGGGCAACATAAATTGTTGCAAATTAACTAGTTGCATTTGGCTATTTTATCAGCCGCTTATTGGCAAGAATACATATGTTCTTGGGTAAGTAGAAGCAGGCATCTTGCAATATTGCGTGATGCAGGTATTGAACTTCATCAGTCTATTTTCAAAGTGGTGGTTAGACTAATTATATTGCATAAGGTTGATTGTTGGTTAGTCAAGAACTCTCATGTTTAGAAGTTCAAAGTTAAAGAAATGAAAATGTTGAGATGGATGTGTGAGCTTAATAGGAGAGATAAGATTAGAATTGAATATATTTGTGGCAAAGTGGAGTTGTCTTGATAGAAGACATGATATGAAAAACGAGATTGAGATGGTTTGGATATGTGAAGAGACGCATGGATATTTCTGCGTAGAAATATCAGAGGTTGAATATATATGGATGCTTTCAGGAGATGTGGAGGTAAGCTAACAAAATATCGTGGGAGAGGAGATTAGACAATAGATGACACAACTTTAGCTTATCGAGGAAAAAACCTTAGTTAAGAAGCTAAAGAGGATACAAATTATAGTAGAAGATTAGTAGGTGGTTGAGTGTTTATCTCACTTATCTTTACATGCTAGTAGTTGTAGCATTACTTTTGTAGTTTCTTGTTCTTCTATTTCTATTACTATATGTTATTTCTTCCACTTCGATCATAGTATTGTTTTATTGTAGATAATGTTCCTTTTTCTTTTTCCAAAATGCTTTGTCATGCTATTTGTAGTATTTTGTCATAGCTTCTGCATTTATGTTATTTCTTTTCCTAGACTACTTTGTTATATTTTCTTGAGTCAAGAATATCACAAAAACATCTATACCTCCTAAAATAAGTAAGATGTCTACGTATACACTATCCTACTTAGTTGTGTTTTATCTCATTTTTCCTTAACAGCTCCCTATGTGTGCTTCATGTTTTTCTTTTCTAGATTGTTGAACTTGTTGTTTTCCTGCATGTATTTATGGTTGTTGCAAGTGTTTGTCCCCCTCTGTTACCAGTGTTCATGTATCCTCCATCCCTTGCTAGTGTCCTATTTATATGTTATAATAATTCAGGAATTAAAAGAAAAAACATTTCATCTTGTTGTCTTTTGTAATTTGGAAGATTTACAGTATTTGTGCATGTAATCCTATTTGATATAGCTAGTAAGGGTTAGATTAGTGGAAAATTACATTTGCTCATATATAATTTCTTTCTGTGCTCATTACCTATTATATATAAATAAAAAAAATACAATTTATTTTTTTTACTTATATATAATAGGTAATGAGCTCTCTTAGACTTTTTAATGTGTTTACTTCTTTATATTTTGAAATCCTTTAATGAAAGCCTTAAGATGACACATTGATTTTGACATTACGTGAATGTAATACTCTATTGTTAATAATCTAATGAGCAAGCGTATTTCCCTCATATAACTAGGGATGATAATGGGACGGAGCCGATTGAGCTAATCTGAGAAATTTTTTTAACAAGCTTTGCTTTACACTACACAAAAAAAAGAAATTCATTAAATTTAACCCGCTCCATCTCGCCTAGTTTAGACCAGTCTTGCAAGAATCTACCACAAACGATCTATGTTTTTAAAAAAATAGACTCCTCAAGTAAAGAAACCTACAAACATTAGCCAAGATCAATCTATGATCAAACCAATAAATCCCTAACATAAAAATTTATCTTGATGAACAAACAATCACGGTATGGGTGGACCGATTTTGGAAGTTCTAGTTAAATATAGCACGGTAGTATCAATTGCATTTTCAGTCTGATGGGTCCTTTTATTATTTTACCTCTAATTTTTTTTTAGAATGATAACTTTAAAATAATATTTTACCTCTAAATTTTTTTGTAATTTCCAGATAACACTTCTTACCTATGTCCGTTATACTACTACCATTTATCCATTTTATGTAAAAATACTTATATAATTTTTTTTAAATACTTCTATGAATATTTTGTCATTTTAATAGAAAGAAAACATGTCTTTTTTTTGTCACGGACCAAATCGGCAGGGGCATGTTGGATAGCTGAAGAGCCAATGGTTTAGGCTTGTTGAGGCATTGACATTCACTTCTTACTATTTTCTCTTAGGTTCAACCCTTGAAGAATAAATTTCTCTGTTGATGAACCATTTTAGTAATTGAATAGACAGAAAGGCTATACTGCATTTTGATATCAAAGAAAATTTACTAAAAAGAGAAATTGAGGCCAATGATAACCTGAGCGAACTAACAATATGTAACAGAACTGGTAACCAAAAAAAAAAGCAAAAGAAATACAGATCTAAAAGCTCAACTACTCACAGAAGAATACACAAGTGTACTAATAAATATGTTTTGGAAGGCTGACTAGCTTTTCACTTGTTGAAAAACAAACCTCTCCTCCTTCCTTTTTTCTTCTCACCAGCCTGAAACAAAGAGGAATTGGAGTCATTCACATCAAAATCTTAATATCAATTGGATAGCTGCAAGGCAATGAAGAAGCAGCAACAGGTTTCAATGTCGGGGAAAATAGATGTGTCAGCTCCACAAAAATTTAACACTAGATCATAACAGAATCTAACAAAGGAATGATGTAGCATCACATACTGGATAAACTGAACAAGAAAGGTTCTGTATTCGAGATATGGTCTTCTGTGCAGAAAAATTCAGCACTAAGGTGGTAACAATAGAGAAATACACAGTTAACCAACCAAAACATACTAATTCATGTGTGGAAATGCAAGTTAGACGATTTTCATGCCAAGGCAAATAGATAAAATTACACGATGTGAACCATCACGAAAATGGAAATAAAAGAAAAGGAGTACAGCACCGATCTAGCTGAATGTGCTCTTCAGAGCAGAAAAATCCACAGACAAGACATACAAATTTATATGTGGGAGTGTGCATGCTTCAGAAACTAGCCGAGTTTCTTGCAATGAAATAAAAACGACACGATCTGAACCATGACTAAGTACAGATCTATACCACAAATGCACTAAGTTGTAAATTTAGGGAGCCTGTAAACTTCATTTGAACCTCATAAAATAGAAAATACTATGTATCATTCATAATCGCGACAATAACTTTCAGATTGTAGAAGTCATACCCTTATAATAAATAGTCTCATGGTGAGGACAATTGTATCCCTTGAACTGCAAAATAGAGTCACATGTCAGTTTAATAGAGAAATTTAATTGTATGATCACTTGAACCACATTGTCCGATGGTCACCCATGCAGGAGAAGAGAGTGAAACATAGAAAAGGTAAAATGTCATAGATAAAATATGACGTGACATGGAAAGGTAAAATGCTTAAGTTTGCTCATAACTATGAAAACAAAAAATATGTTTTTTTACTTAATTTATTCCGTTCTGCTCTTTGGGGTTGGGGGTGGGTTTTTTCCTTTACCAGTTAATGTCTCCTTGATCATTCTCAGCCTTCAAAAGATGCTCAACTCCCCGACTATCAAGGATCGAAAATTCTGTAGGACTTCCATATGGAATAGTAACCTAGAAGAAGCATAAAGTGGTGAGAAATGAGTAGAGATAAACATGAGCTTAAATTATTGTTTTCAAACTAGAAGTCATTGGAGAAACAGTACACAACAAAGTACCCTTAATTAAAGAAAAGTTTCAGTCTCTATTTCTAGTATCTTTACGTTTTTTTAAAAGATTATCTTTACATTGGAAACAAGAGCATCATCCTTTATCAATGCTTCTAAAGTTTTTTATAGAGTTGGAATTGCCAAGCAGTTAATTATCCTCTACTTTATGAAGACCCAGCAAAAAAAACTTTAGCTTTTTGTCCTCAATAATATCATCATTAAGACTTGTCAAAATAAAAAAAGGAAAAGGGTCAAATTTACAGGTGTTATCAAAAGCAAAAAGTGTAAAAAAGTCTCAAGGTTTGTTGGGGCTTTGAGCGCAAATAAAATGTGGGCATTAATGAAAAAAGGCACAAAAAGGGAACAAATACAAATAGATATGTTTAGTACAAGACTAATAATTATACGCTTGAATGATAAGTATATGAGCAAAGAAATTGAAAAGAACATTATGATGAGGTGAAATATCAAGTGTTTATTGTGCCCATCGGCAAGAGAAAGCATATCTTGGAACCTTGATGATGACACTCAAGTGCACATTAAGTGAGACAAACCACTCATTACGTTTTTGAGCCTCACTTCAAGGCTTAAGCGCTCCTTTGAGAACACTGAAATTTACCCCTCTAATTTAAGAAATAGTTCATATTTAACCTTAATCGAAAGTTTTTGCCCTAACCATTAGCTTGTGGTTCAAATATATACCTTTTTCTAACAAAGCCAAGGGTACGAACAAAATATAGGGTTAACTTCGGCCATTTTCTCAAAGATGGATAAATTTGCTCTCTTATATTTATATTTGGCAAGAATATAGGCACTTCGACTAGGAAGTCAATGGAATTAGTGGATACTCTAAATTCTAAAAGGAGGAGAGTTTATATGGTATGCCTTCAAGAAACTAATGAAATGGCAAATTAACACCCTGCCCATTTGAAATGTTTAATTAACTTGGGGTAAGACTACGAGAGCTTAGTATTCTAAGGAGGATGTGTTATGAGGTATTTAAAGTTGAATATTAAGTTTTGGAGTTGAATAAGTCGTGAAAAAAAAAGTGATTACAAATTACTTTTAAAAAATCTCAAAATTTTGGATAAAATATACCAGAGCTTTTCTCCCAATCTATAGAGTTGGAGGGCCCACTACCTATCAAATTGAAGATCTCTGTGTCTATTTTCCAGCGCATTAAATCGTTCGCCAAACTTCCAATAGAGGGATATTCACGTTTTCGTGAGATTGTGCAAGTAGGCACATGAGGTGGACCCTAGATTGGTAAGGCTTATAAAATATCGCCTTCTTAGTTTTCAAGACAGAAAATTCATAGCTCAAGACTCAAATCGTCCTTACATGTTGGTGTTCTTGGCAGAAGTTCTTGACGGAATTGCTCAACGTACCGAGCCCGTCATTATGGTATAATTTTCCCCGTCAATTTCATGATCAACTTCATGGGTGTTGTAGCAACAGGGGTTTTGACTGCGTGGTGGGATTTTAGGCAGTATTCTGAGCTTGAAAGCAAGGTAAGACTCTTCTTTCATAGGTTATAGCTTTGTTAAGCTGCGGAAAGTATTTTACAGTAAAAATCAATATCTTTTGTTGGATTGTCGTATCACTTCTCGTCCTTGTTATTTACTGAGTTTTCACCTTAATTTTAGTGGTGTGGAGGTACAGGCAGAAGCGAGTAAGCCACAAGGTTCATCGGCAAAAGGTACATTAAGGCTATTCAAAGGACTCATTTGCACCTTCAGTGCCTCTACCAGAGGGCTCATACACACGGGGTTAAAGGGGTGTACAATAGTATATGCTAAGACACTGATCAATTTTTAGTCTTGTCTACATAATTTAAGGTATATAAATACATTACAGTTGGGTATGACATGCATTTGCATCTATATATATGTATTCACGACATACGATTATGCGAGCATACCATGCATATTTAATTTATATAAGGTTGGATGTCCACCATGGAGGCTATCAGAGTTTCTGTTTCAGGTGGCATCTTTTTTACCCTTTTTACAACAACTATTTATGGTTCTACTTTCTGTCTTACATACCAGTACTTTTTTATTTGTACTAAATCGCGTTGCCTGGGGACGCTGCATTTTTGTTCGTAATCATGAATACAAAAAGGCAAAAGAAAGAAGACGTACAATTGTAGATTGAGAAAACTTCTCACTGACGAGAACACCACCAGGCCCATTAACCTTGATGCTATAACCATCCCTCTTGATAGCCAAGGTAGCAGACTCCCATATATCAAGATATCGTGTCTGTACAACCAAAAAAAAATAAGAGTAAAATAAAGCAGACAAACCATAATATTTCATTACAAGATCATAAGAAATTGAATAAGGTCATCATGATATTCTCCACACCTAGAAGCTCATAAATGTCCTTACCGACAATGAAACTTTATATGAAGCATGACCACTATAAAGGGTTTTCTCAATGCAACTATGCATTACAGGATCTGCAAACACAGAAAGAGCGGTCACATAAGATGAGTTGGAAGAAAGTGGAGCAACAAAACAAAAGCAAGAACAAGGATCTCTGAGATTTTAGCTTGCAAAGAGATCTTCATGCAAATACAAGACAGGAAACGTGTTTGGCTTCAGATCTCATGACAATCCACGGGCTTTGATGAAAGAAAAAAGTACAGAAAACTCCCCGAAGAAGTTTGTAATATATTGCTATCTGACTATTAGAATAGAGATAAGCGAGTGGTGACAGAAGGTTAGTGGATTTTCCCACTGCACGGAAAATCCCAGATGAAAATATGAAGGGAGAAAAAAAATACAGATCAGACAATAAAAGAACTAGAAAATTCTCCCAGTGCAACCCTCTGCGTTGTAGCATCACATGGGAAGAAGAAGAACATGATCAAGCAAACCCTAAATAGGCTTCTTTTCACCTCTCTAATCAGTACACAAAACCAGATCAAGCAAATAGAACATTGACCAATTCAGAACCTGATAAAGTAGCTAAAAACCCACTGAACCTGCACTAACCATATACTTTCCCCGTGCCAATTTATCTGATGCACACGGAGTTTAAGAAAGACTGCAGGTTGACTATGAGGTTATGGTGGGATATGCTTGGGTGGTTTGGCACTTCTTGGGCAATGTCAAACACTGTGAGAGAATTGATGTTCAGTTGGAAGAGTGTGAGAACGAGGAGAAGACGAAGGGCATGGAATGCGGTTCTACTAGTGCCAATGTGGATTGTTTGCAGTGAGAAATGTGAAGAGCTTTTGTAAGTATAGAGTCCAGTTTCTTTCAGTTGAGGAGTACTCTCCATTCCCTTATTTTCTTTCGGTGCATTCAGAAAGTTCCTTCTGAATCATATCATTTTGTAACTTCTCTACTTTTTGGTACATCTCTTGTATATGGCCGTTGTGGCCATGTTTGTGAATGAACATACTTTTACTTGATAACAAAAAATTGACTTTTGAAACGTGTGGTCCAAAAGAAGTCACAGATATTGGTGTAACAAAATAAGAATTTTAAAGTTAAATTATTCTAAAGATAGGAAGATATCATTTGGGACAAACTAAAAAGGAAATTGCATCACATAAGTTTGGGGATTAGGGGGTAGTAACAAATTTCAAATTTTCACAATCCTCCTCCCACCATCTTGTCAAAACAGAAAAGCCAGTCTTTCTAGATCAGCTTATTTGTTCTCAAAAATATTACCAAAGGAAAAAAAAAACTAACGGGTTAAGCACTAATTTGAGGTTGCCATTCATAAACATTTATTTAATATAGTGAAATTTCTCATACACTCCTAATACTGATCATGAGAATATTGACTTCTATAATTTGGAATCATAACAGTCAAAGTCTCAAAATTGATATGAGAATAGACTTAAAGTACCACAAGTTATCTTCCTATGCTCATTTGCAAAGACCTTCACGAGTTCACCCTGAAAATCAAAAACCAAAAAGTCATTGCAATGTTTCTCATCGAGATAAACCTAATAAAAAGAATGGCTTTTATATTATAAATAAAATAAACCACATTCTTTTGTAGTCTTTCCTTTTTATACTAGAATAAACACCAAAGGGTGTTTACAGACAGTCATATTGGAGTTGAATGGTTGAAATTTCACCTTACACCACTTAGGTGTATGGCCTTCTTCATCTCCCTATTCGTGGAACCTCCCCTCCCCATAAAGAAATACAAAACAGTCATATATGAACTATTTCTGTTGACAAAAGCCTTGAAATTTTAAGGGAAATGGATTAGAACACCCCTGAATAAGGTCATGTCCTCAGGAAGCTTAAGATACACCATATCCTTGTCTAACCACCTCTCCGAATACTCCTTTGGCCTACCTCTACCTCTCCTCGTACCCACTATATCCGATCTCTCACACCTACTCACTGGCAGCTGCAGATTTCCTCTTCACATGCCCAAGCCATCTCAACCTCCTTTTTCTCATCTTGTCCACCACGGAGGCCATTCCCACTTTGTCCCGGGGATGGGGGTGCTTAAATCCAATCTTAACATCATCCCTTTCCAGCACTTGCATCTTCAGGACACTAGCCAACACTCCGCCCCATATCCACTCTATAGTACTTACCTTTAAGTTTTATTACACAAGAGTCCAAATGCAAACCTTCCTTTTAACCACGCCACACCACTACGATGTGTGACAATATCGTCGATCTCCTCATCAAAGACCCAAGATACTCAAAACTTTCTCTCTTGTCTGATTAAGAAGGATGGAGTGGAGTGCTTTAATTTTTTGGGGGAAGCATGGAGGCTAATAATAAAGAAGATGATAGGAGCACTACCTTCCGTTTTCGGTTGTCCAATGGCTGAACTTCAATAGCAAGGTAAGTATCAACATCGTCAGCAGTCACAAGGTAAGTTGGTTGCTTTGCCCCTGTCACAACAGTGTCATGTGACCTCAAAGGAGAAATAAAGCAGAAAAGATATGTGACTTGTTTAGCAGGATACCCTCTATATAGTTAAAAGATCCATCTTCCAAATGGCGAACCCACTGCAAGTTCAAGAAGAACCAAAAAGGAAAAAACGTAAGTTCCAACCTAAGACTGACAACACAAAGCATGAAAGATCAAGCGATCATGATACAAGTGGAACTAGAGAATCAGAAGCAGCAGTAAAGGAAACGACCAAGGAAGAAAACTAGAAAGGTCGAAGCAAGGAACACCTCAAAATTGCAACTGGTTGTTCCATTAATAGAGTAGCCACAAGCTTGGAGTCCCTGTCCAGGATAAGCATCACCAGAAATTTGGAGACCCTCTATTGCAGGTAGTGCCTCTTCATCTGCTACTGAACAATGTCAAGTTTAAGGAACAGTAACCACTAACCAGCATAAGGTTTGACTTATTTAAAACAAAAAAAACTATTGAGGAACAACACAGTTATCCAACTATTTGCCTGATCCTCGGTAAGATGTGGACACTACCCGGCAGTAAAACTACTTCGATTTCAAGTTCAGTTCAATGGACTTCAGTTTAAATTACACCACAACAGTAATCAAGCAAAGACACTAAATTCACCTTCTGAATAGGATGATGAAGGCTCCTCAAGAACTGGTGGAAGGTATGGAGAGTATGATGAGCCTGGCTCATCTAGCTGTGATGTGTATGCAGAGCTTTTATTAGCCCAATTAACTGAAGGCTCTCTATCATTTTGATGTCTTTCCATGTCAGAATCATCCATCTCATTGCTGCTGATGAGATCACTAAAAGTAACTTGCTTACTAGATGTTTCTTCACTTTTAGGCTTGGAATGCGTATAACCCTGGCTTACTGCAAGTTGTGCTGGTATAACTTGCACTGTAGTGTTCCTGTAAAATCGGGTGACGTAAAAAACCCAAAACATAAAGTTACTCAAAATTGGAATTTAATCAATACGCAAACTGAAAACAACCAAATCTTCCAAACCATGAAAATAAATAAAAGTCAGAAAAGCAACCAAAATGAACCATAGCATAAGAGCAGAAACTATAGAAGGTGTGACATAAATCCTCTTGCAAAAAGAACCAAGTTTGTACTGATGAAAACAAACGTTTATCATTAGAAAGCAGATTAACACAACCCAGACTACCATGTATGAGGGAGAAACAAGCAAGACGGGGTCCTAAACTTGACTATGAATTCATGTTTACAACCGCTCCGGTCCACAAGCTAGTCTATGCATAGGTGATCAAGGGTGCTATGATGCTCTTAACAGTTGAGATTTGACGGCAAATTTCTAGTTCATAACTATGTTGAAAATCTTTATAGAGGTCTTGCAACTGTTGTAAAAGGGCTGAGGACCATCCCATATCGCTTGACAGGCAAAGACAAACGTACAGTTAATGATGCCAGCAAATTATTCCATACACACTCGCACATTATTGCAAATGAAAGAGTTAAAAAAGTTTAACGCCGTACCCCAGGAGAGAAGAGAAACAATGACACTCAAATATAACTTTACAAGGAAATGCCTTAAAAATAAACAGCTAAATGAAATATCCATATTGACATTCAACAATTCGACCATAAAAGCTATAAGATATAACTGAGTCCAAGAACCATTGCTTGCAAGAGTATAATCAGGACGACGAGGCACATTCACACATTATAATTCCATAAGTTCAAATGGGCAACTTTGATTAAATATACAGATAAGAACAAAAAGGATATAAAATATAATGTACAAAGAAACTGCAAACACAATGAGGACAGCATACAAGGAAAAATTAACAAGTCATCACAATAAAGGCTTGAAAGTCTGACGGGTTAAGCATGCAAGTTATCTATCCAACTATTCATACATAGTCCTCACCAGGACCTACTTTATTATTGTGAAGCATCAATTGTTTCAGAGTTAAAAAAATAAAATAAAAAGAATTATCACGGAATAATCAACAATAAGTTGAAGCACAAGTCGTAACTAGCTGATTAGATGATAACCTATTTAGAGCCCGTTTGGATTGACTTGAAAAAAGTAGCTTTTAAGTTAAAAAATAAAAAGTCAAACGTAATGACTTTTAAGTCAAAAAATAAGTAGGGAGTGACCTACTTTTGATTTTAAACTTTTTTTAAGTCATTTTAAACTTATTTTAAGTTATTTTTAACTTTGTCAAACACCCCAACTTATTTTAAGTTATTTTTATATTTGTCAAACACTTCCAGAAGTCAAAAACTGACTTAAAAGTAGGTTTGACCAACTTCTATGCCAATCCAAACACCCTCTTAATGATGAAGGTCAAGCTATTTGCTAAAGTGAGAGAGGAGCATAAAAATCTTCAAAAGGCATTTGCCTAAATGTTTTTATTACCACTGATGTAAACTAAGATAATCATTTCCATCACTTGAAATAACAGAAATGGTTAGATATTGACCATTGTTGGAGGGGTCATAGAGTTTCCAGGGCTGTTCTAAACAGCACACTATATGGTAATATAAAATTATTACTTTTCAAAATTCATATCTCCCAACTCCAATACGACAATGCAGTCAAAACATTATTCATATAATGCTCAAGAAGGTCAAACAATTTTGTCTAAATTGGGATAAAGGGAATCAACTAGAACCAGTAATCACAATTAACCAACAAAAACAAACACAGGCGGAATCAACCTTGTAATAGCATCACAACTTCACAAATATAATAATTACTGTCCTTGATAAGGGAACATACAACAGTTGATCATCCTTAATAAAATTCTGAGCATTTGAGCTTCTTAATCTTTTCTAGGGGATCAATTTTTTTTCACGTAATCTATTTTATTTGAAATTGTAAGGAGAGATAAATTTTCATGTAGTCTACTCAATGTGCCACATGCTATAAATCATTCTTTTTCATTATTTTCTGAAGAGACAGAAATGGTAGTTGGAAAATACAATTTTGTGGATAGTTGGGAACATGATTTGGCCGTCAATTTTCATCCAAAAATGACCAAACATTTGGGAAAGTCAATGATAACAGAACCCACCACCGAAAGCAGATAATAGTTGGGAACATGATTTGGCCGTCAATTTTCATCCAAAAATGACCAAACATTTGGGAAAGTCAATGATAACAGAACCCACCACCGAAAGCAGATGGTTGGAATTGTACATTCAGTTCACAGTAGCAGTCTCCATTTGATCAGGCTCACCTGCTTGTAAGAGGTGAATACCTCCCCAAGTCATCAGTCTCTGGATTTCTTTCTGCATCACGGTGTAGACCACTCTGAGGATTGCTCAAGGGATCCCAGTCTGTTGTAGTCCGAGGATCTGACGAAAGAGGAGCCTTTTCACTGGAATAGGCTTGTTGAGGTACGAGTTCAAGACCTTCTTTAATCTGTAGGAGAACATGAGAAATAAGAAATCCATAATGAATTTGAAAGGAAATTCCTTCCAACATATAATGTCATTTAACATTAGACTTGCCCCAGCAGACTGAGGAGGTGAATGAGCAAAATTTGACAGGTTCATATCTGACCGCCAAGGTGCCATTTGGTACTGAGACTCCTTCAACTTGGCCTACAAAAAAAAGTACCTATATATCTTTAAGATGTTCAATTAAAGAAGGGAAGTTCATCTCCACATGACTAGTGGGTAAGAGATAACAGAATTGGTACTTCAAGCAAACATACCTCAGTAACAAAAAGCTTCTCTTGTAAATGTCTAAACAAAACCTGCAACACATAGCTTATTGAGCTAGAAAAATCATATTGGCATTTCAGAATGTCTGAGTTAAAATAAACTTAACATTCCATCGACACTTCACAAGTTCGGGAATCAAGTTCTTATTTATTTACAAAAACAATTCTCAAAATCAATTTCAAACATTATCCTCCACTTATTCTCTCTTAAGTTGTTCATTATGATACATCGAACTTCTTTCACTTTTCTTTACTTCAGCCCAATTAATGGAAATGGAGATAATATGATGACAAAACAATATGGAAGACTAACTGAGAAAAAAGACAAACAAATACAAAACTAAATACTGCAGAAATGATGATATGTTTGACCCATCAAATGAGACTATTTTAGGAGTTCCCCGTCTTTATGTAAGGAGAAAGACAGCTAACAGCTTAAACCGGGTATGCTGCACTGGAAGGATGAGTCCTACAGGATTAAAACTATAGAATGTGACACTATCTCTAGTTTTAGAGAACCCTTAAAATTTGTCCAAACAGACAAATTGTTGGGTATAAGAATGAACAGACCCAACAAGAGCGGAATGAATATGGAAGATTCATATACCCCATTTCCACTAACTTGATATTGAGGCATATTTGTTGCTGTAATGTGGCACAACAGCAATTCCAGCTGATCGTATAATTTCTGCTGATCTCTAGAAGAATTAATCAGTTTTTTACAGTGGTAAGGTAGCATTTGCTTTTACATATAGCATCTATACGATGAAACCCCTTGTGCCTTGCATATATTATTTTCCCTATTTTTCTGTTGCATCTGTATAGGAAGTGGCATAGCACTTGTGCCTTTAGTAAGTAGGTAGATAGATAGAACCATGCTAACCTTGACATTGCTGACAATTGACTGTGCATCAGCTACAGGTGTCTGAAGTGAGTACTCTGCAAGAAGTGGCAGCAAAGATGATACAAATGTTGATCTTTCTTGCTGTGCAGCCTGAAAGAATACATTTACCTCAAAAACACTATCATAGAAGGGGGGAATTTTGCAATAAAAATAATCAGATAGCAGCTCAACATAACCAGTGACAAGTAACTCAGTACAGCAGGCTAACTCTAATTACCAGAGATGAAGCACGGATCTTCTCATCATATGATTCAACAAAGCTGCTGAATACTTAAAAAACTGTGCATGCACCATCCCAATAAAACATTGGGCTATTCCTTAAACATTAAATCTTTTCAGTATGAAGAATTGAAGCCACACCACATAAGTTAATTGTAGATATGCACCATCCCAAGAAAACATCGGACTAATCCTTAAAAATTAAATCCTTTCAGAACAAAGAATCAAAGCCACACAACATAAGTTGATTGCAAATAGACACATCGTATATTTAAAACAAAAACCCGAAAGAAATAAATAGCCGCATGGGTGAGAATCTGGGAAATCCAAATAGAATGAACAAGGAAGGAATATTCACCAAAACACAATAATCCAAAAATTGGAGAACAAAGCATTTTCTTCTCCATATGGATCTAATCATTAACATTAACACACTAATAGAAGGAGGGAGGAAAATATGAGCCACGTGAAGAACAGGCATACCTGCAGTGCATATGTAAGGCGTATATTTTCCTCAATTATGTCTTGTCTGTATGATATCGCTTTAGAGGCAGCATCAACAAGATCTTGTTGCTGCTGATCAAATGCCTACACATGTTAAGAGCAAAGGCACCAATAAGTTCAAGGCCAAGAAGAAATGAGTGAAATTGACATGACAGTCACTCTGGCCTACCATGCGCATGTAAGCAATTCGCTTTTCCAGAACATATTTCTCATTGCGAATTTGTGCTTCCTACCAAAAACAAAAACCATTCACTTCAACAATAAAATAACAAAACAAAAATGACGTATTAAAAGCACAGGCTCTTTCATTACCTTGATAGAATATTCAGAGAGATATTTCCTCATTTGTACAACCTCCTGTTCATGCTCCTGGATCTTCAAAACAAGATCCTAAAATGATACATTACTAAAATTAGGGGAATGATCAGTATGATGTGTTATATCATGACATTTACCAATAGAAACAAAGAGAGACCTTCTTCACACTGCTGTTAACTTCGGCCACTGGCATCAAACCTTGTCCAGATAAATTGAGCTGTCTGTCATATTCTCCTTCTATTTGATACCTACCTAAGCCAATCTAATGTCACTGTTTCTGTTTGTATCGATGAAGAAAACTGATGGCTAAAAACTTTATTTCATCAAAAAAAAAAACTGCTGGCTAAAAACTCTTTCACAAACATTATTAGTACTACACTCGTAACACCTAAGTTGTAATGTCTCCACCTGGTAAACTGATGTTTAGATGATGAATTGTATTTATGTGAATACCTGTTGGGTGAAAATGATGCCGAAGGTGATGAGAAATGTGAAACACCAGAATTATCAGTTGTTGTCAGGCCACCAGGTATTGCTCTCGATGTGCCATTCACTTTGCTATATTCGGTTTGGCTCTCTCCCTGATTAGGCAGAGTCAAGTCTAAATCATTTTGCCTGGGATCTTTTGCAAGCAACAGATTACTAGACAAATTACGTCCTATACTATCCATGTTTCTAAGTTCAGGAAGTTGACTTTCAAAACCCAAGGTTGATGGATGTGCTCCATCAGCCTCATTTAGATGATCCAATTGACCAACTGAATGAGGAGTTTGACCTTTCAGCTCTCCTGATCTCTGCAAAACATAGTAATCCTAAATATTGTAAGAACTTTGGATATGTGAGTGGAATAATATTTCTTATGACAAAATTCCCAATTCATTATTTCGAAAAGGTGCGGGCCGCACAAATGGTTTAATTCTGCTAGAAAGGATGAGGAGTCTCCAAAGCGCAGTCTTTGTTGAATTGTGTGACCATCTCATCAAATAGAATAAAAAAGTAAAGCTTTTAAAGAGAGCACATTTTTATTTATTTAATGAAGTTTTCAACAGGCCCCCTCAAGTGCGAGGCTTGATTCTTTATGATGAGTCAACTACATCGAAGAAATTCTTTTGAATAATGGGTTGAGGTGCAACTCGAATCAGGACCATTGACTGTGTGACCATCTCATGTAAAAGCTTAAGTTGTCAGAGTACACTTTTGTTTATTTAATGATGTCTTCAATAGTCATAAAAAGTAGAACATTATCGTGGCAATGGCTTGGTTAACTCAAAAAGAACCATGACAGACAGTAGAAAACTTCAATGACAAACTAGAACTGGCACATAAAACTAACTTATTGAACTCCTTGATGACCGTGTCAGTCCAACGGATGATAATAGTACAAATAATTACCAAAATGTTGGGCAGTACATAATATGTAGCGAGTTAATAATTGCTCTAAATAGTAATGACAGAGAGTTCCAAAGCTAGTTAAATGAAAGCAACATAATATTTCAATGTAGTTCTTTTTCTAGGATCAGTATACACCTAAACCTACATAAATTAGAGGAAGAATTTGTTGTTCCCTATCAATGAGGTTACAAACGTGGAGGAGCTGTCTAGGATTCTGGGTGGGGAAGTAGGAGCTTTACACCACCTATCTTAGAATGCCATTGGGAGCCAAACTCCATGAACATTTGGAGCTCTGTGATTGAAAAGTGTGAAAAAAGAAAATGTCTAGATGGAAGTCACATAATTTATCATGAGTTACTCTCACAAAATTCAGTAGTGGATGCTATATCTACCTATATGATGTCCATCTTCCCCATTCCAGATGGTATCATTCAGGGGTTGGACAAAGCTAGAAGGGATTTTCTTTGGAAAGAAAAATAACAAAACTGATTCAACAGTACGTCACCTAGTTAAATGGAACAAAGTGCTTTGGGGGAGAAAAACAAGAGGGGGCTTGGCATTAAAAACCTTAAGTTATAAAGTGCTCTAGAGATATTCACAAGAACCTTATACATACTGGAGTAAGGTTATCAAAACCAAATATAGTGAGGAGGATAGGTGGACGACAAAGGAAGTAATTACTCCATATGGGGTTAGTTTGTGGAAATCAATTAGAGTACTCTGGCCTTTAGAACCTCACCAATATTAAAGTAGGAAATGGTTACAAAAAAACATCCTTTAGAAAGGATAAGTGGCTGAGATTAAATAGTTTAAAGAGTTCGTTTCCTGAATTAGCTGGTATGGCAGTACAACAGGAACTGAGGAAGTGAGAGTGGCTGACATCTGGACACAACAAGGATGGGACATTCAATTCAGGAGGAACTTCAATGACTGGGAAATTGATTTTGTCGTCGAGTTCTTCAGAATGTTGGAGGAGTTTAAACGCACCAAGTTGACTGTTTTACTAGGTTATTGGCAAGAGATGCTGTTTTGACACAACAGAAATTCAAGAAGAGGAAACTCTCTTTATGTTCCAGATGTTACCTCTGCGGTGAAGTGGTTGAGACGGTTAGTCATCTATTTCTTCAATGCAGGATAACTACACAGCTATGGAGGATTTTTCTTAGCCTTAGAGGCATAAGTTGGGTCATGCCTAACAAAATAACTCACTTGTTATATTGTTGGGAGGAAGCAGGAGCTGCAAACAGGGACAGATGTAGAATTGTCCCAGCTTGCAGCTGGTGGACAATATGGAAGGAAAGGAATTCAAGATGTTTTGACAGCAAAAACTGTGGTCTACAGATGGTCAAACTGTCTTTCTAATTTCCCCAGCTAGCATCGCTTTTATGTTGGGTACTGAATTTATAAAACCATCTTTTAGTAGGAAATAAGGGAGACAAGTGATAAAACTAAGGGAGGGGAGGTACAGGGGAATTCTCAACAATTAAATTCCTCTTAGTGATCCGAGACTGTGATGCCTCTGAATGCAGCAAAGAGGCAGAAGGCAGAACAAACCAATGGGTACAAGACAATATCCTCCAACTCAGCCAAATGTTTGGAATGTCTTTTGACGGTTGTTCTGGGGAAGCTTTGACCCTTCTGTTAAAAATTGACCTAGAAGGGAAAAGGAAGGCTTCTTAGCCTCGAGTGCTGCAGAACATAAGGACAAACAGATAATCCCTAAAGAGCTAAAAAGATTGATCTTTGATGTGAAGTTCAAGGATGGAGAACCTAGGAGTGAATCTAGAAGCAGGGGGAGAATATATGCCATTACAATGAATTTAAAAATTCTATCATGGAATGTTAGGGGTTTAAACATGGAGAATAAAAGAAATTAGGTGAAAAGCAGAATACAACAGGAGGGGGTAGATATTATAGTTTTGATGGAGACAAAGCTAAATGGGGCAGTGGGGGATCATATACAACAATTAGGGGGGAATAGGTGGATGGGAGGAAATGGCTGGAAGCGATTGCCAACAAGGGTGAAATGTTAGTTATGTGGGTGGTGGAATACGGGAACCAATCAATCACTTGTAAATTATGTGAAGTCAATCAAGAACTAACTTGGTTTCTCACAACAGTCTACGCATCTTGTGATAGAAATGAAATGATGGAGTTGTGGAAAGAATTAGGAGCTATGGGGGCCCTGGGTAGTATGTGGGGATTTCAATTTTACAACTAGGTTTCCCTCTGAGAAAACCAGCTTTCTAGAGCCGTGACAGATCTGTCCAGCTGTATCAACGAATTGGAGTTGATTGACCTTTATTTGGGGGATCATACACTTGGAGAGGAGGGGCAAACCATACGAATGCCTCAAGGATTGACGGATTTCAATACTCGTTCCCATGGGATGAAATGTTCCTTCAAATTAGGCAATGACCATAAGGCCTTCAAGAGATCTTATTTTAACTTTGAAAAGTGGTGGCTTAATGTAGAGGGTTTCAAAAGTAAAGTTCATGAATGGTGGAGCTCCTTTGATGTGTCAGCTAGCTGCTAAGTTGAGGCTGCTTAAAACAAAACAGAAGGAACGGAGAAAAGAGAATAGGGGGAACTGGAAGGCAAGGAAGGAGGAAATTTTGAATTGGATAGGGAACATGGAAGTTACTCAAGAGTCTAGATCCCTTATTGATAATGAACAGATACTAAAGGTACACTTGGCCATGGAATACGAGGAGGTGGCAAAAAATGAAGAAATTTTTTTGTAGACGAAGGTCTAGAATTAAGTGGATCAAGAATCGCGATAAAAATACGAAGTATTTCCACAGAATGGCAACACACAAGAGAATCAACACCATTGAGTCATTAATGATTAATGGAAAGTAGGGGTGGCAAACGGTCGGATTGGATTGATTTTGCATGGGTTGAATATGGTTTGAGAAAAAATGGGTTGGACCACAATCCATCCAAATATAATATGGTCAAATATGGATTTTGGTCAAAATGGTTCTAATCCATTTAACCAAATTTGTTTTTCAAAAACATAAATGTACCCCTCTCTCCACATACCCCGGGGCGCCCCTCCCACCTTTCACCAACCTACCCCTAAAAAAAATTATTTTTCAAAAATAAAAAAAATCTGTTTTTCAAAAAAAAAAAAAAAATTACCCCGCCCCCTGGCAACACCCTGGCCCCCACCCCACCTTCCACCAACATACCCTATTTTTTTTTTCAAAAAAAAAAAATGTTTACCCTCTCCACCCGGGCATTCTTCGCCCCCCACCCCAACTTCCACCAACCTACCTCTAAATTATTTTTTACCGAGTGAAAGTGAAAATAAGTGATATAATATGGATCAAATGGATACCCATTTTGACCATATTTGAAGAGACTTTTAAAATAGCTTGAATCCCATATTTGACCAATTATAATATGAGCGATCCAAGTCATTATATATGGTCAAAATGGGCTCATTTTATTAATATGGACTGAAATTGCCACCCCTAATGGAGAGTTATCTTCTCAGCCAGTGGAAATCAAGAGCTCTATTGTGGATTTTTACCACCATTTGTATTAGAGGTAGAAAACTGGAGACCCTCACTAAATATTCTTAATGTACAAAGAATAACAATAGAGGAGCAGAGCTGGTTATCTAGAGAATTCAGTGAGGATGAGGTGCTAGAAGGCATAAGACTTTGTGCTTGTGATAAAGCACCTGGGCCTGATGATTACACCATGGCCTTCTTTCAGGCATTCTGGGAAATTATAAAGGGAAAAGACAGATCTGATGCAGACCTTCCAAAACTCACTGTCACCAAAGTTCAGAGAAAAGTTTCAAGCTACCTTTGTGGCTCTAATTCCTAAGAAGGTGGTGGCAAATGATCTAAGAGACTTCAGACCAATCAAACTCATTATTCGGGTCTATAAAATAATTGCCGAAGTGTTGGCAGAAAGGCTGAAGAAGGTGATAGACAAGCTAGTCACAAAAATCAAATGGATTTCATTAAAGGGAGACAAAAATGGATGTTGTTTTAATTGCTAGTGAATGAACTGATACTAGGATTAGAGAAGATGTGCCAGGGGTAATGTGCAAACTGGATATTGTAAAAGCCTATGACCATCTTAATTGGGACTTCCTGATGAACACTCTAAGACAATGGGTTTTGGCCAGACATGGCTCAAGTGGATTGAGTTCTGTATTAAAAGCACCAGGTTCTCCATTTTAGTAAATGGAGAACGTGTGCTGAAAGAGTTCTTAGACAAGGAGACCCTTTGTCCCCTTTCCTGTTTATCATTGCTATGGAAGGCTACAGAAGGGTTGGACAGCTTGATGAGGAGAGCTTCTCTAAACAACTTGCTTAGGGGTTTCAAAATCAAAAACAGGGTCAATGAGGTGGTGGATATGACTCATTTATTGTATGCGGATGGCACAATATTTTTTTGTGAAGCAAAGCAGGAACAACTCTGTCACGTCAGAATTATTCTGGTAATTTTTTAGACATGCTCTGGCCTTGAGGTGAACTGGAGAAAAAGTAGCATTTCCTATTAAAGAGGTCCAACACATTCAAGCTTTGGCCAATATATTGAAGTGCAAGATAGAGAGGTTGCCTACGGTTTATCTAGGTCTGCCATTGGGTGCGAAGCAAAAAGCAATTAGCATCTGGGTGGTATACTAGAAAAATCAGAGAGGAGGAGATTGACACTTCGGAAATCCCGATATCTATCCTTGGGGAAGAGTCACTTAGATTAATTATGCTTTAGAAACTCTGCCAACATATGTGATGTCACTTTTTCCCATTCCCGACAAGGTAGTAAAGATACACAAAAACAACTTACTTACCAAATGGTTGTGGTGATACAATTTGGACGATCAAGCTCTATGGAAGGAACTCAATCAACACAAGTACGGTCAGGAAGATCAATGGTGTTCAGAGGAAGTGCCATGAACATATGGTGTGGGAGTATGGAGGACTATAAGAAACCTACGGCTAGCTTTCAGAGACTATGTAAGGATAAAGGTTGGTCGAGGGAATAAGACTTGTTTTGGAAGGAAGACTAGATTGGTCAAGGGTCCTTGGAAAATTTATTCCCCGGGTTGTTTTCCATTTGCCTGAATCCTAACAGCAAAATACAAGAGGTTTGGTCTCCACAAGGATGGAATTAGCTCCTTAGAGATTTCTTAAAGATTGGGAAAAAGCATAGGTATCGAATATGCTAGCTTTGATTAGAGATTTTCCTGGCACAAATCTAGAAAAAGATAAATTGCTATGGAGGTATCATATTGATGATCAATTCTATGTGAACAGAATGTATAAAAGGGATCTAGCTTGCAGGGACGAAATCAGGGCCATGGAGTGCTATATGGAAGAGTGTAGCCCCTACTAAGGTGAAGTGTTTCACTTGGTTGGTAACTAGGAGGGCTCGCCTGACACATGATAAACTTCAAAAGAGGGGAAAAATTATTGTCTCAAGATGTTATCTTTGTAAAGAGGCTCTAGAAAACAACAATCGTCTGGAAGGGGAGGTAGTAAGAGGTAGAGGAGGTGGTGGAGAACAGTACCTGCTTGTATCTGGTTCATTTGGAAGGAGAGAAATCAGAGAATTTTTGTAGGAAAAGATTGCACTGTAGAGAAGATTAAGTGGAAATTAATTACCTCTTTAGGTTTTTGGTGTAAACAAATGAACATAGAAGAAGAAATCCAACTAGTGGATTTCATAGGAGGTTTGTAAGGAGTCCTGTTTTCTTTTTTTTTTGTTGGTTTTTCTACGTAACTAACACTTCTGGAGGCATCCAGCATAGCCCTTAACGCTGAGGAGTACAAAGTTACCAGTTTTTAGAAAGGAAAAAAAAACTGAAAAAAGATACTGAAACACTACATCCATTTAGTCTTAACCATTATCTGCTTTAGTTTTAAGGAAATATATGATTACTTTTTTTTTGTGAAACTAGTAAGGTTGAATTCTTCAGCATTAAGGGTATGTTGGTTACCTCCAAAAAGGAATAATTACAGATTTCCTATCGAATCTATAATCTGGTCTATATCATCTATACAAAGCTGTTTAAACCAAAAAAGTAGAGATACTATACAATTCCATTTAACTTTGTGGATGGAATTGGATCTATCTTCAAAACATCTTCCATTTCTTTTCTTTTCACTTCACTGGATCTTTTTTGTCACCATACTTTTTATGTGGTAATTATCCAAGTAACAAAGTTAGTCTAATGAATGCTACTTACACAACCTTAAACAAATGAATATGGACTGGCAGCATGTACTTTAATGCATGGTAGTTACATATTAACAAGGAAAAGGATCAAACTTACCCTCAATTATTGAAAATAGAAATACTATACCCTACGTTTGGTTTTGGTAACATAAATACCCAATCCGTTTAGTTTATTGGCTCAGTTATGACCTAAAACCTAACAAACTTCCATGCGTGATTTTAATCCAATAAAAAAACTTTCAATGCTGATGTGGCTACCCATAATTAATGGGGAGGAATGTTTATATTTTAGTGGAATGCCACGTTGAACCAAATAAGAAGATTTCAGAATGGTTGGTTAAGGTTAAGTCTGGAACTTGGTTCGGGACAGGAGTAATGTTTGTTGCAACCACGTTAGGTGTCGATATAGCGATAATTGGAACTGGCCTTGGAGCTATTGGTAGTGTCCTAAGTAATGCTGGAAAACTTATGAGAAACAAATTGACAATCGACATTCCAACAGTTCAAAGAAGAGTGGTTTCCTCGAGATGTACTTGCAAGTACTGATTAGTTATGTGAACTAATCGACACACAAAATGTGCTATTAACGTCAATTTTACAACATCACGACCACTATGCCTCAATCTCAAGCAAGTTGAGCGCTGAAGCCATTCAGAGTTGGGAAGAAGCTGGACTGCAGTTTAAGAGCAGAGGGGAATGGAGAATTGTCCCTGCTAGCATTTATTGGGCAATATGGAAGGAGAGGAGTTCCAGATCTTTTGATAGTATAGAAAACAGTCTTGCAAAAAGTCAAGCTTGATTGCTACAATGTTGTTGGTGTAATCAATCTTACTCCAATGAAACTATCTCACTAATTGATGTACTAGACTCAGTTTAGGATCAGATAGCTGGATTTGATGATCTTATTGTAAATATGGTTCAGCACTGCCTATGTAATATTGTAGAAATATACAAAGTTTCCTGTTTCAAAAAAAAATCTGGTGACGAGCTTAAATTTATAGTCTCCGAATTATTGGTACAACCATCTACGCCTGACTGTATAATCATACTACCTTCTGCATTTTCATAGTTAAAGAATTATTCAACCTAGAGTGAAGCTAGATGGTCCACCTAATGAACTGCTACCTTAAAAGTAAAAGTACAGAGTTGCTAGCAATAGCTGGCAAGCTGGCGAATTTATATCAGTCGTTATCCCCCTACGATCAAATATAGGTGTGGAACATAGATAATGTCATCAAACATGTGCAGTCCAGAAAAGGGCATATCTTTGCCAACCATCACACCTACATATATAATAATGTGGAAGTGATACAAAAGAAATTATTTGCATTAGCAGTAAACAAAAAAATGGATTCTGGTGAAGGCTACAATCAAAAGGGCAAAAGAAGATAATAGATGGTCAAAACAATGATATTCAGAATGTACAATGCTCCGGAATCATAAGATGTAAACTAGAAGACAAGTTTGGACTATAAGGTAACAACCAATATGAATTTTACTTACATATTTTTCAACTTCTAGAATCTTCTTTTGAAGTTCTGTTCTTAATCGATTATTCTCATCAACCTGTTAAAGAAAAAATACATATAGGATCAGAAGACAATCTCTTCTTCTTCTTTTTTCATATTTTATAAGGTAAATTATTTTATAAATGATGGGAAAATCACATACAAGACAAGTGTATACTAAAAAGCAGAGAACCTACAACAAAATAAGGTTCTCTACACAAGAGCACCAATCCCCTGTTCATGTAGCACCTCATAGGTGCACCAAAAAGAATTTAGAAATAAGAGAGTATTTTGCAACTAAAAAGAATCAAGCAACTTCTTCAGATGCTCTCATGTTACTCTCTCCAAAGAACCCACATAATGGTTGATGGAGCAACATCCAAACCGCCGTCTTCTCTTCCTCCTCTCGAAGGCCTAACCATACAACACCTCCTTCAATATTACACGGCACGAGCACCACCCATATTATCCCAAACCAATTTAGGACCAACGACCATAACAATGTAGCAAGGTGGCAATGCAACAAGAGATGATCATCTCCCAAACATCTACACAATACACATGTAGCACCATCTAACATAGTCCTCCCCTTCCTTAAGCTCACTGTTGTCAAAATCATTCCCCTTGAAGCCAACCACGTGAAGAAACAAACCTTCCTAGGCGCCTTAGGAATCAAAAAGACTGGTAAGCAAAATCTGATTCTCCTCTCACTAGAAGGCACTGATAATATGATTTGACGGTGTTGAAATGTCTGATCATCTCATCTAAAAGTTTAAGTTTAAGTTGTTGCAGAGAGCACACTTCTATTATTAGTTGTATTGTCAACATGCCCCCACACGAGGAGGGCTAATTTTTATCATGGATCAAACACGTGAAAATTCTTTTTGATACGGGTGACGGTGAGATTCGAACTCAAGACCTCTACTCTAATACCATGTTGAAGAGTGTAATCATCTCGAGCGTACTTTTATTACTAAATTGTATCCTCAACAGACTAAAATATGTCATTCCTACTTTCACGCCATCTCGACAAATCAGAAATGTAATATGGTGCAGTTGCTTATATAATAGATCAACCAAACCTTGTAGTTTTCCATCTCCCAATTAAATTGTCTGTTGCTATTATGTTTTTGTTGTAAGCAAATAAATTCGTATGATATCTACTGCTACTATCATTGATGTTATAGACTCGACATAAACGTACATCAGTATAGCTATAGGATTACATATGTACATATGGTTTCAGTAAAACTCATGTACTGTTTTGTCCACTTATATAAATATTTACAATAGTCGTTGTCAAAAAAAATATTTACAATAGTCACCAATTTCAAATAAAAAGTTGTATGTTTCCATAAACATTGAAACTGGGGGTGGGCATTTGGTTCTTTGGTTCGGCTTTATCAAATTTTGGTTCGGTGCTTGGTTTTGAAAAAGTGTGAACCAAATAACAAACCGTTATATTTCGGTTGGATTTGGTTTGGTGTTCTTAAATAGGTTTTTCGGTGCAAATTAAAAATAAACTGAAAATAATCAACTGTGCAGCATTGGAAAGCCACCTGATGAGTGATGGTTGCTGCTTGCTGCCGCTTGCTCCAAAGTTTTCTTTTGTTTTGAAATTGGGTCATGGGTGGATCAAAAAATTAATATGTTTTTGGGGATAAAATTTAAAATATATAATTAATAAAATTAAAATATAATTTTAAATTTAGTTAATAAAATTTTCGGTTTTCCGGTGCACCTTATTTGACCCTTACTCCAAATATCGAACCCAAAAAACAAAATTTTAAAAAAAAACACCGAAACCGAACCGAAATACCGAATTAATTTGGTTCGATTTGGTTTTTCGGTTTTCCGATATTTATGCCCACCCTAATTGAAACCCCTTCGTGAAAGCAAAACTTCCTCAGCTCTTATACAATCTTATCAAATGATCAAACATAGTACATAAATAGCGAAATATCCTAAGACACTAAATAAATCGCATATCTCTATGTTCCCTTAATAAATAAATGTTTATGATTATATACTATTACAAGCTTTCAAATACAAATATAATTACAAGATTCAATAGTCCAAAAAATCACAAATAATAGTAACTAGTTGTTCTTTAATATAACTATTCCACATGGTACGGACAGTCTATCAACGTCGAGCATGAATCTTTTTTTTACAAAATATAAACTTACTGTTAAAGTTTTACATTTAATAAAAATTAAAATCAATATTTAAAATTTGAAGTTCTATCCTTTTTCCTTTTTTTTGGAGAATTTGAAATTTGAAGTTAAATTTAAAATTCGGTGCAGATTTCATAATAAATGCTGATTTCAAATCAAAATTTGAAATTGGGGTCTCAAATCCTATGACCAAACACCTACTAAGAGGCCTACCTTGAGCAAGACCAGAAACCAAAAAACTATCATTACAATTATAATGATGCACTGCTCGACACAACCATGGTATTTTTTATACTTAAGAAAGATTGTTGTAAATAAATGCAACTAAGGAAGACTGATTCTAGTCTTCCGGTTCCCGAGAGAACCTTTGGCTATTCCAGTCATTAAAAAATGTATTCATGTTGCCAACAAGAGAAGGAGCAACTCAAACAGGTAAAGAAGATATTAGTTCTCATACCTTCTTTCTTTCAACTTTTTCCTATTTCAGTCGATAAAAAGACTGCTACTTGAAACCCAATGGTTCTACTTCGATGCAATTTGAGCTGGCTTTGCTGGTGAAAGTAAAGGCCTATATGCAATTATTTTTGACTGTTGGACCGGACAGTGACTGATGTTATCATTTATCTATCTCTAGACTACTTTTTGCAATTTAGTTAGCACAACATGGCATAGCTTGTTAAAAGGAAGGCCTAGAGTTATCCATCTTGGATGGGACAAAGACATAGGTCCAGGGCAACAGTTTCATCTAACATATAACCAAGAGACATTCAACATTGATCCTATTGGAATGATTGAAGTCCATTTGCAGTTTACATAGCTTCTATTTAACTATCTTTGCAGAAAAGGCCCATAAGCAACCTTTGACTGTTGGCCGGCCAGTGACTGATGTATCATTTATCTATCTCTAGACTACCTTTTGCAACTCAGTTTGTGCAAACATGGCATAGCTTGTTAAAAGGAAGGCCTAGAGTAATCCAGAGCAACAGTTTTATCTAAAATATGAGCAAGAGACATTCAATATTAATCCTATTGGAATGATTGAAGTCCATTTGCAGTTGACATAGCTTCTATTTCAAACAACAAAAAGAAAGTAGACTCATCACCACAGTTAGTGAAACCATTCTGTGAACACATGAAACAAAAATAGTAACTGTTCCCAATAGATTGATCAACAGTCACTACAACCAGTCTATTAACAAGACATTCACGTGTGGGGGTGGGGGTGGGGGGGATTAGCAAACCTGTTGCTTAATGGTGGCTTCAGCGGCTTCGACTGCTTTCAGAACCTGAAACAACCCATCATTGTTCTTGGGATTATTTGAATCATTCAAATTCCATCCCGCAAGTTTAGGCACCAAACTATCCCCTCCATTTTCCATCTCCCTCTCTCTCTCTCTCTACTCCCTCAGCCCTCTGCCTTCAACCGTCCAACAATTGTCTTCTTTACTACAAGAAAATTCAAAAGAGGCGTAAAAACCCAATTTCTATCAGAAAATGGTATAAATAAACCATGATAGACACAATTTTGACATATTTATTTCCCCATTATTTAAACAAAACAAAACCAAAATCAAAGGAAACAACAGAAATGAAACAAAACTCCAATAGCCATATGAATAAATAACATAATAAAAAGAACCTTTAGAATAAGGAATATTACATGTTCTGCTTTTAATCAGCTTTATTTTAAACAAAGTTAACTCAGAATTTCCGTCTAACTGCCATTGGTTTTTTCTTTATTATCTTTAAATCATTTTGTTAGTATTGTTCTTTCTTTTTTCGTGAGAATACTACAGATGGGGGTGTTAATTGTTCGGCTTTTGATTAGACCAAAATCAAATTAATTTAATCGGGTTTAAAAAACTTATAACCAAACTAATTTTAAAAAAAAAAGAAACATTGGTTTGATTCTTATCAGTTTGGTTAAGTATCAATTTTTTTTTGTGAAACTGGTAACATGTATTCTTCAGCATTAAGGGTATGCTGGCAACCTCCAAAAGTGTGCTTACATAAATAGCTAATTAAAGTAAGCCTAGGAAATCAACTATCTGTATTCCATTCCCTTTAATATAATATGACCAGCTATATTATAAATTGATTATAGTAAAACAACACATACACAATACAACTATTTCAAAAAAGCATTAGGAATCAACAAATTTCTCTTTACTATCACAATATGAATGTATATAAATCTTCTATGAAACAGTGGCAAGCTCTCCCAGGCCGAAGAGGCTCCATAAGCGCAATTACACCTATGGCCCGTCAACGTACTTTTCCACTGGCAAAATGCAATATTCCAGCTAAGGCTGCACAACGCCACAACTGGCCCAACGGCAGCAACACCCAGCAGATACAGAAAAGATGGTTACACCGGAGAATGGGGATAATAAACCACTACCACCCATCCAACTCTCTCAATGAGTGGAAGGTGTGAGTAGTGGATCTAAGGCACATCAAGCTCCGACGAAGGGATTACAGTTGAAAATGAAGCTTTCAGTGGTTAAGACACCAGACTCAGCACAAGAAGGCGGTGTACAGGTGGCAGGGTAACTCACCTTCTCTATGTGGAGCATACCTACAGTGTTTGCTACTGCCAATCGATATCTAAACAAAGATAAATAACTCAGCTACTTCCTCCAGTTTTAAAAGAGTAGGTTAAGGTCAGAAAGCTAAATCCAGAAGCATCGGAACAACAAACTAGGAAGTGGGACAGTGTAATGATAGGGTATGTAGTAGGGAAGAACACCCCATTTACAGAAATGCTCAAATTTGTGTATGCTATCTGGAATCTTGTCACAGCACCTAGGGTCCTCTAAGACGAAGGATACTACATATTCAGGTTCGAGGATGAACATGATAAACAAAAGGTCCTTTAAAATGGCCCTTACACTTTTGATTCTCGGCCGATAGTTCTTAAACAGTCAAATCACAACTATCATATGGATATGGATATGGGTAAGGAGTCAATTCGACAAATGTCATTGTGGGTTACCTTCCCCAACCTACCAATTCATTACTAGTCAACTGAAAGCCTAAGTAGAATTGCAAACCATTTGGGGAAACAGAAACCAGTGTGTACTGATAAATTGACTGCTTAAGAATGAAGGATCTCATATGCTCAAATACTGATTAATTTGAATGTGACCCAACCCCTGCCTGAAGTAATGTTTATTGAGGAGCCTAATGGAACTAATAGAGAATAAGAGGTGGACTATGACTGGTGGACTAAATATTGCGATGAGTATATGATCATAGGTCACGAAACTGAGTATTGCGGTCTGATCATTAAAGCTCCACCTCCCAAAGTAGTATACAAGACACAAGGGGAAGAAACAGGCACCAACTCAGTGGCAAGCAAAACTATAGTCATTAGACAGCCAGAAACAATCATACCTCTGGAAAAGCCTTCTGATTCAAAAGCTATACTACGGGATAAGTTCCTGAGCACAGATACAAGACAGAAGCAAGGAGAAATGGCAGCTGAGACACCAGGGGGAGATAACCTTCACGGCTGATGAACATACTGACCTGACCTCAGTTTACTGGGGTTTGTGGATGAGTATGCAGAATAAAAGGGTCCTGAGCAGCCCTCAGAGCCTTCTGTTTTTGGAATATAAGAGGGCTGAACCAGCCCTATAAGCACAAGGAGTTGAAACCCTTTTTGCTTAAGAATAAGATAGATCTCTTAGCTGCTTGGCGACTTAAAAACAAAGGAGCTGACGAAGTTAAAAAGTTCCTGGGAGCTGAGTGGCCTTCAGTAGAGACGAGACCACAAAACCCACGAATCAAAGAAAAACCCTTAAGAAACCACAGGTATTGAAGTGACGATTTTGAATAGAGATATTTTATTCCACAAAATCGTCACTTGAAACTAAGTTATGGTGTTCCAGGTCTTATTGAATCCCTCATCAAAAAGAAAATGACTCATTATTTTTGTACTGCGAACCCAAAAGACCAAATATGGAATTTTGTTGACCTAGAGGAAGGTATGAGACATCCCCGAGTCTTGTGATTTTAGCACTTCTGTTTTTATCAACTTATGTTTAGCTTACACAAATTTTGGATAAATTGTGTGACAAGCCATGATGTGCTCAAACTTTTATTGTTGAACTTTAATTGGTCTTAGCCTAAATGCGTAACCACATGCATGGTCTTGACATACACCGAGTTAGAAGCATAATTGTTTTCTTTGCTCGAGTGCATCCCACCTAATTAGTTTTGTCTACACGTCTTGGTAACAGTTAATTAAAGTTAATTATTAGAACAATTTTGGCCAAGATGTGACGTTGTAAGTATCCCATGAAAGATAAGTAACAGAATTCTTAATCGAAACAAACATTTTAAAATATGCCCAATGCTCATCTAGCGTTTGAGGCATTTGTTCATCTCTTGTAATTCGAGACAACTAAACTTATACATCATTTCACTCTTTCTTATTATTCAAAACGAGCCTTGGATCAATCCGCAACTCATCTTGCTCTCTCACAATTAATGGGACCTTCGACATGTCATACTTCGAAAATAAAGCCACCAGCAGCAATCCAATATTTCACGATTGCCCATAATTAAACATTCAACGAGAATAATTACAAAGATAATTTAAATATCCAATGTGTAAAAACACAATTATTTACTCAAACTTATTTAACATGTAATCTGCTCAATTGCTAAACATGCTCATTGAATTTTCTCAAAGAAGATTATTATGAAATGAACTAGACACAAAAGCTCTATAAGACCTCCAACGTTAGCTTTATAGCTTCTAAAATCTTCAAGTCTTAAAAAGCATTATATTTCTAAATTCTAGATAAACTTAACTTCTATGTTAGCTCATTAACAGTAAAGAAATAACAAAATTATGCAGTCTTTTAATTGATTAGCATGGATTCCAATTAATTTTTAGTCCAAAATCAAAACCCAGGATCAAGTCTCGATAGCTCACTTTTGCACATTCATAAGTATAGAAGCAAGTGTATCAAAAACAGAACTAATATGAAACATTCAACTTAATCAACCCCCAAACAAGTATAACAAATAAATCACAAAAAAATGCATTTAACACATAAGAATAAAAATCAACGCCAAAACAAGCTGTAATAGAAAGAAATGAACCTCGCAAAATAAATTTTTGAGCCGTAAACAGAGACCTCCAATGGAGCCTTAATGTTCCCAATGAACTCGACAAGATTCTGAATTATTTTTTCTTAACGAAACCGCACTTGTTCTGACTGAAAAATCTCGCGGATCTAGAATAATTCAACTGTTTTTTTTTGTCAATGAAACAGATTAATCAATGACAAACGACGGTCTGTGAGGCACAGGAGGGGATATTTTGGAGATTGAGAGAGATGGTGGATTTGAGGTTAGTCTTTCGATTTCCAGGTAGAGAGTTCACCGGATTTAATGGATAAACCGTCGTAGAGCAACAGTAGTGCCGTCGTCAAACTCCGGCGAGCACGTGAGCCCTGTGTCTCTCTCCTATCCGTGCTCTCTGTATCTATCTCTATCCCACGAAGTACAGAAAATTGCTAAGTTTCCATAGTTTTCTTCTTTCTCCGATCTCCCAATCGCTCTCCCATATCTGTCTTATCTAAATTTTTAGGTCTTCCTTTTCAGAATTTCAGAAAATTGAAGAAGAAGAAGAAGGGCAGGTTAGGTTTAGTCGGGTTTTTTTCTAAGTAACCATTGACCCCCTAATTGTAATTGGAATGACTTCAGAAATAAAAAGGAAATTACGTAGGCATAATATCATACAAGAAATGCACCTTTGTTTTCCATTGTATTGTTTTCCATTTAATATAATCGCATTGTTAGTGTATTTTTTTTTTTATTGTGTTTGTTCTTATTATTTAATAATTATATTTTTTTTTTTATAGTAATTCTATCTATATCACATTTTTCATGTAGATTTATTTACTTTTTCTTTTATAAATTTAATTTGTTTTATTTTATGTATCGTTGAAATCTATTATTAGGTAATTACGAAAATATCAATTTTATCTAACAATTAATTTGATTTTATTGCGTTGTTATCTTAATATTTTATTCTTATTTTATTTTTACTTATTATTTAATATTTATAATTTATTCTTTTTTCTAACTTTCCATAATAGTTTTACCTCGTACTTTACTTTCTTGTAGAATTATTATTCAGTGGATATATGATCGTATACAATGATGGAGAATGAAACAATTTATCCAAACATTGTATTCATTAGAACAAAACAGTACGATACGATGCAATATAATACATTATGAAACAATAATGTAATAATCATTCAAACAAAATGTTAACGTGATACACGCATTTACACAACACGTAAACTAAACTAGCGATATCAAATTAGAGTTAAGGATAACAAATACAACTATATCATTTCAATTTTACAAGTTTCATATATGAAAGTTACCTACATATACTGCCACCAAATATTTATCGACACACACTTTAACTATCAATTATTCACTTTTTCTATTTGCATTTTCAAACAATTGATAGCTGGGGTGTGTTTCAACAAATATTTGGGGATAGTGTAGACTCAAGAGTCATGAAGACACCTAAAAATCAAAATGATTTTTTGAATTTCTTACATGAATTATCACGTGTGTGCGTTACCTACATAAACTATCACCAAATGTTTGTCAAAAAAATATACCTTAATTATCAATTATTTATTTATTTTTTATATTTTAGTTGTGTCCAAATAAACATTTCGTGATATTGCAGATAGAAAACTCACACACCTTACAATTCATATATAATGAAGGAATAATTAATTTACATAAAGCATAATTACATCCTACACCAATATTTAATAGTAATTAATAATACTCCCTCTGTCCATATTATTTCCTCTTTTAGATGTTCCTATTTACTTGTCAATTTTGACAAATTAAGAAAGCACCAAAAAGATTTTCTATTATACCCTTATTTAAACTTCTTGAAAATTTATAAATTTCAATTCATCCTTTTTGAAATCATATTTAATAAGCGTAGAATCGTAACTTCACTATGTTAATTATTGCTTACTTAATATGTGTGACTTTTCTAAAAACTAAATAGGAACAAAAAGAATATTAACATAACGGAGTTGTGGATGCTTCAATGACCGAAAAATAACATTTTTCGAAAGCTATTGATTGCATCCAGCTCTATATATTTTTTTTTGTTATAAAATTACACACCTAATAATAAAAAGAAAATGAAAAAAAAAACATATCGATTTTTCACATGAATTGGATCATTCAGTAAATTTAAATATCAATATACCTTAAAGTACGATTAAACTCGCATTATGAGCATGTTGTTGGGTCATGTAGAAGTTGGCAAAGAAACTTTGAATGGCGATAGCAAAAATAGGTTATAATAAATAAATAAATAAGAACTCATAATATATTAAACTGAATCAATCAATTGACTCAAGTATAAATATATATTTTTTAAAAAAAATATTAAAAGAATATATTTTTCCTAAATAAAATTTCCTTTTAAGAACTACATTATGAATGTTATTGTATTGTTGTAGAAAAATCCTTTTTAATCAATAAAAGTTAAAAATACTTTTTCATAAAAAAGAGTTAACCTAATTAATATAGAAGAATTTTTTCCCCACAAACTATTTACTAATCTATATATAAATATAAATGAGGATCATAGAGAAGGTGATGTGGCACCTCTCTATGACCTTCATTCATTTTTTCTTATTTTTCTTCTTTTACTTGATATTTTTTCTTTATTTTTTTAATTATTTTTTTTATAAATTTATACCTCTTTAATTATATAAATTATATTCTTAAATTAGTATTAATAATATTCATAACCCTCAAACCTTTCATATTCATAACCTCTTAAACCTTTCATATTCATAACTTCTAATTATTTAATGTAATAGGTTACATTAACACTATAAAATTACACTAAAATTGTGTGTTATTTGTAGTCATCTTTGGGTAGAGAATTAGTGGAAGGAATGTTACAATATTTGTAAGCTTTGAGGTGCATTGTTTTTTTAAATATTATTTCATATATTACTTTTAATTAGCAAGTAAGGCTAATATGTCATCATATTTTTATTTCTTCAA